TAAGAGGCAAGGATGATTGAACATCTTGAAGTGGTTAGGGAAAAGTGTGTGTGTGTGTGTGTGTGTGTGTGTGTGTGTGTGTGTGTGTGTGTGTGTGAGTATGAGTGTGTGTGAGTGTGTGAGTGTGAGTGTGTGTGAGTGTGTGAGTGTGAGTGTATGTGTGTGAGTGTGTGTGAGTGTGTGTGTGTGTTTATGTGTGTGTGTGAATGCTGGACAATTGTATATAAAATCCATGTCATTGTTCATAGCTAATGTTTTGTTTGGCCACTATCAAATCATTTGTGTGTGTTCTCTGACGTGTGTCTAGTTCAACAGTAGCTCATATGAGTAGTTGTGGTAAGTCGTGAAGCCTAAATCATTTGTTACCTGTACCTTTACTAAAAAGTTGACCTTTTAGTTGTTGTTTTGTGAGTTTTTTTGTTTTTGTTTTGTTTTTTGTTTGTTTGTTTTTTGCCAATCTCTGACTCTCTCTTACATGTGAGAAAAGGTTCCGTTTCCCTTCCTTTCTTCCCTTTTAAAGACAGGGCCTCACCATATAGCTCAGGCTGACCTCAAACTCACCAGTCCTCCTCTTGTCACCTCAGCTTCCCAAGTGCTAGGAGTACTCATGTTCGATACCCACTTTGCAAATCAAATATTTTTAAGGACAGGTGAATTCTCATTAAAAAAAAAAAAAATCTCCGTCTCTGTGCACAGCGGACAGTGGGCCATCTAGTTCCCGAAGCTAAAAGTTATATCATAACCTGTGATTTCAGCTCTGTGCTGCCTCAGTCTCCCAAACTGATTTACCCTCATTACATGTCAGTCCTTGAGGAGAATGTACCTGTGTGTTCAAACATTTATTTTTAAAGAATCAGGTCTTTGCTCTTGCTCTGCGTTTCTCTGGAAATGGCCACTGCATCAACCCCGGAGACTGGAATCACCCAACTCCCAGGTCTGAGTCTTAACGCTTGTGTAATTTGCCTTAGGCTAGGGAGTAGTGAAGATGAAATTAGCGAGGAGAGGGGATGGGGCATTCCTGGCAGTGGCAGCTCAAATTCTGGGACTCTTAGAAAGAACACAACAGTATGCTTCTCATCTTTTTCTTCCCAGTAGGATCGATGAGGGGGGCGGTTCTATTTCTGTATTCCCAGGCAAGATTCCATAGGGAAACTTAATCTACATCCATCTTAACCTGCGCAGACACTTTCATCCTCGTCAGCAGAAGTTGCCATGCCAACGGCTGTCCTTCCTAAATCATCTTCCTATGATCGCGGGCTGTGCCTTATTATCAATTAAAGGCTCCGAGACTGTCTGGAGCTTTTCCTTGGACCTGTCTTTGAACTGTAAAAGACCCGTAGGACTCCACACCCTTCCGCTGCCTCCGTGCCTGTGTGTCCTGGTGACCTGGCTGCTCCTCTGTCACATGCTCTCTGTAGGAGTGTCTGTGATTGGGTTATAATCCCTTATCAAATAAGTCCTAGAAAACTGGCCACGAGGCTCACCCACACCACCTCTGGCCCCGAGAGTTCCGACGGTGCTGTGGTCTTGGGCCCCGTGACTTGCTGGGGTGCTGGGCATGCGGAGCTGTAGCTGGGTGGCAGGAGTGCTGAGTGCCTGACCCACCACCCCCAGCTCTTGGTTTGGAAAGCGGAGGAGTGGACCTAGCTGGTCCCACAAAGCTGAGCTTCCCCCACCCCCGCTCTCCCTGGGCCTGCCCTGTTCCTACACCTCCACAACAAACAGGCTTTGTTTCTCCTCGCCTTGGGGGCTCACTAATGCTCTGGAGAGGAAAATAAGTGCTTTAGGACTGGCACTCTAATGAAGCTCAGTGGCTTGATGAGGTGCAAGTCTCCTTCAGAGACTATGCAGCCAGGGTTCTGCTAGTCCTGTGTGCTCTGGGAGGACCGGCAATGGATTTGCTGCAGTTCCGGGTTCAATTCACAGAATTTACATATTTCAGAGCCTGAAGAAAAATGGGGATCAAAGAACCAAGATCAACCCCCACCCCTTTCTGTGTGTGTATGCCTCCACTAAATTATCTCTTTAACATCTATATAAAACACACAAGGCCCCTGGTTTCATCCCTGGCACCACAGAAAACAAAACAAAAAGAAACATCTAACGACTGGAAAAGCCCATTAAAACAATTTGAAAATTCAAGTTATTAAACCTATCTTTTATATATCCATTACAATTTTTTTTTCTCAAAAATGGAGCTTTGAAAAAAAGTGGATTATTCTGGAGGCTTGGTATAGACCGTGCATCACCAAAGTGGATTAGAGGTTCAAAGACCAGGTTTCATTTACATCCAGAATCTGGCCAGAGGCAACAGGTCCTTGCCAAGATCCCTCTGTGCATCTCCTGTGAAAAGCCTATCGCTGGTGTGCTGGGGGCCAGAGCTGGCTTCTGCTGATTAAATATTCAGTTTTACAGGATGGAGATTAAGTCACCAGCAGTTTGGTGCATTTGTTTATCCCTTTGTAGAGCAAACATCTCAAACAGGCAGTGTCTGGAAATAAAGGAATTCTAGATACCAAGGGTTTCTTTGTTAGACATCCAGGTAGACCACTGATTATGTTTAAATGAACCGTGTTCCTTACTGGTTTTCAAGGGAGGTGAAAACATTTACTATAGTGACAGCTGCACCCTTAAAGTTGAAATGGGTGGATTTAAATTAAAATGCCCCTCAATGATTTATTAGCCACAATGTCTCAAACTCCCAAACAGAATGCCAGGATTTACTAGTGATTTTAAAATTTGGGGACACAGCTAACAGATTTAAAATAAATGATAAAACTGTACTTAACACTTCAGAGAATATACATTGTGTATACCTTCATTCTCAGTTCCAGTCCTATTTTAGAAACTTATAGAAAGAAACAAATATTCACCCAAGAGACAGATTGTTTTTGTGCCTTGGCACCAAGAATTGAAACAAAACAGAGACCAAAGAAGTTCTTCATTTGATGGAGTGTTTGCCTCGAATACTGGAAGCCCTGCATAAATTGGGCTGTGGTGCTGTACACCTGTAACCCCAGTCCTTGGGAGGTAGAGTCAGGAGGAGCAAAAGCTTCGAGTCGTTCTCAGTTACCTTGAATTAGAAGCTGAGCTACATGAGACTTCGTGTCAGGTACAAAAGCAAGAATAAAAAAAAAATAACCAAATAAAAATGTCCTTTTGTCTGTCTTGTGCACAGAGAAGGTTGACATCCACCCACACTACAGGACAGTTTCCTCAGCTGAAGTTTATGTTGTTCTTGAAACCAAACTCGGATATTCAAGCAAATGTCCAGGTCTTTTGAAGTTGAGAAGTCTGGACACAAATGCACCACTTATTTTGGACCCTCTGGACTAAGTACCAGGCATCTATTCTTTGCCTGTGGTTCAACAGCAGTGGCTTCACTGTGTCCCAAGATCTGCTTGAGCACCAGGCACAGACACACGGTCAGGTTCATTTGTGTCCTCTGTGTGTGCTCAGAGCTCTGAAGCATAGATCCTGCTTTCGGGATTTGTTTAATTAAAGAGACAGAGGTGACTATTTCCTGGGTCTGACTTCTCCTTTGGGGTCTCTTACAAAGCCTCAGGAGCTGGGCAGTAAGGCTGCAGCTACATTGATTGCCTCTAATCCCGGTTTGGACGATCTCTGAGGAGTCCTTACTTCTCCTGTCTTAGATTCAAAGAGTCACAAATAGATTCTGGCACTGATGGCCTCATAAGGACTTTCCTTTATTGAAAATCCTAGCTGTCAAGTCTGGTTTGCCAAATGAGGGTGCAGGTCTCAGCTGAGACCTTGGCTTTAAATGTAAAGAATTATTGAGTGCTATTTTTAGAATTTTTATTACATCATTATGATAGGCGTGCATGGTGTGTGTGTGTGTGCGCGCGCGCGCACCTGCCTGCCTGCCTGCCATGTCACTCATGTGGAGGTCAGAGGACAATTGTGTGGACTTGGCTTTCTCTTTGCACCACATGGGTTGGAGGGGGGAGGAACTCAAGTTGTTGGGCTTGGTCACAAGCACCTTTACCTGCTGAGGCAGCTGAGTAGGCTGACAGATTCCACAGCAGAACAACACAAAAAGATACAATCTTTTCAGTGTAAACAGAGATTTCAAGCCATCTTCAGAGGACGATGGAGCCTCTGGCAGGTGTCTCAGCTTTATTTCGCTGATGTGACTGATAAGGACCCTTTGGTGCTCATTTTCATCCTTTGCAAGATGGCAGTAGGTCTTATGTCATTGGGTGATGAGGAATTCCAGCTACTTCTATAGATGGCAAGTCTAGCTTCCCCCTCTCTTGGGAAGCACAGTGTGGGTGCAAAGCTTTGTCCCCAAGGAAGCCCCTTTCCTCTCTGAAAAACCCCTTCTTTCTTGACTAAATGTCCAGATGAGCAGGGTCATAAGCCTCCCTTCGGAACCATTCCGATGATCTCACCTAACTAACCTTACCTACCCATCTAAATCAGAACTGTCACTACCTCGTTCCTGGACTACATCTATGCAAGAGTTCACCAACTGCCACGTCAGAAGAAAGAACCGTATCAACCAGATTGTCGTACAAACTTCCTCGTTCTTTTTCTTTTGAAAAAACAATCCCTTTTACTTGCTGCAATGTAGCCTTGCTGTTTATGGGACCAGTGACACACTTCACTGCCAAGAGGCAGCGCTCAGAACTCTTCAACCCCACGTTAATGATAAACCAGCACACTATCAAAATAACCAGGCTTTTCAGTTTCCCTTGTCCATCCCACTTCTGCCCCACTTGTTAAAGGATGCCTGCCCAACGGTTGGTTTTTGTCTCATTCTCTCAGTCAGTTTTCACTTTTAGAAAAAACTAACTTATACTTAGAATGAATCAGCCCTCTTCCCCCTAAAAGGAAGCTCCCACAAATCAATAGAATGGCCAGGTACAGGATCAGGGTGACAGAGGGAAGAGACTCACTGAAAATACCCACTGATGGAAGTGAACACGTGAACGTGGACATGGAGTGGTAAGTTACACTCCCTGAAAAGGTGCTCTTACCCCAAGTCCTGGAGCAGCTCTTCTCCTCCATCTGATCGCTCCCATAGCTCCGAGGGATCCTGGGTACTCATGTTCCCTCCTACAAGTTCTGCTCTGCCCATTCGTTCCCTTGCTGCTGATTCTTGACTCCCTGCCAGGTGCTGTAGAGAGAGATGGACTTCAGTTCTGGACACACTGTGTGTGTGTGTTTATGTGTGTGTGTGAATGCTGGACAATTGTATATAAAATCCATGTCATTGTTCATAGCTAATGTTTTGTTTGGGCACTATCAAATCATTTGTGTGTGTTCTCTGACGTGTGTATAGTTCAACAGTAGTTGTGGTAAGTCGTGAAGCCTAAATCATTTGTTACCTGTACCTTTACTAAAAAGTTGACCTTTTAGTTGTTGTTTTGTGAGTTTTTTTGTTTTTGTTTTGTTTTTTGTTTGTTTGTTTTTTGCCAATCTCTGACTCTCTCTTACATGTGAGAAAAGGTTCCGTTTCCCTTCCTTTCTTCCCTTTTAAAGACAGGGCCTCACCATATAGCTCAGGCTGACCTCAAACTCACCAATCCTCCTCACCTCACCTCAGCTTCCCAAGTGCTAGGAGTACTCATGTTCGATACCCACTTTGCAAATCAAATATTTTTAAGAACAGGTGAATTCTCATAAAAAAAAAAAAAAATCTCCGTCTCTGTGCACAGCGGACAGTGGGCCATCTAGTTCCCGAAGCTAAAAGTTATATCATAACCTGTGATTTCAGCTCTGTGCTGCCTCAGTCTCCCAAACTGATTTACCCTCATTACATGTCAGTCCTTGAGGAGAATGTACCTGTGTGTTCAAACATTTATTTTTAAAGAATCAGGTCTTTGCTCTTGCTCTGCGTTTCTCTGGAAATGGCCACTGCATCAACCCCGGAGACTGGAATCACCCAACTCCCAGGTCTGAGTCTTAACGCTTGTGTAATTTGCCTTAGGCTAGGGAGTAGTGAAGATGAAATTAGCGAGGAGAGGGGATGGGGCATTCCTGGCAGTGGCAGCTCAAATTCTGGGACTCTTAGAAAGAACACAACAGTACGCTTCTCTTTTTCTTCCCAGTAGGATCGATGAGGGGGGCGGTTCTATTTCTGTATTCCCAGGCAAGATTCCATAGGGAAACTTAATCTACATCCATCTTAACCTGCGCAGACACTTTCATCCTCGTCAGCAGAAGTTGCCATGCCAACGGCTGTCCTTCCTAAATCATCTTCCTATGATCGCGGGCTGTGCCTTATTATCAATTAAAGGCTCCGAGACTGTCTGGAGCTTTTCCTTGGACCTGTCTTTGAACTGTAAAAGACCCGTAGGACTCCACACCCTTCCGCTGCCTCCGTGCCTGTGTGTCCTGGTGACCTGGCTGCTCCTCTGTCACATGCTCTCTGTAGGAGTGTCTGTGATTGGGTTATAATCCCTTATCAAATAAGTCCTAGAAAACTGGCCACGAGGCTCACCCACACCACCTCTGGCCCCGAGAGTTCCGACGGTGCTGTGGTCTTGGGCCCCGTGACTTGCTGGGGTGCTGGGCATGCGGAGCTGTAGCTGGGTGGCCGGAGTGCTGAGTGCCTGACCCACCACCCCCAGCTCTTGGTTTGGAAAGCGGAGGAGTGGACCTAGCTGGTCCCACAAAGCTGAGCTTCCCCCACCCCCGCTCTCCCTGGGCCTGCCCTGTTCCTACACCTCCACAACAAACAGGCTTTGTTTCTCCTCGCCTTGGGGGCTCACTAATGCTCTGGAGAGGAAAATAAGTGCTTTAGGACTGGCACTCTAATGAAGCTCAGTGGCTTGATGAGGTGCAAGTCTCCTTCAGAGACTATGCAGCCAGGGTTCTGCTAGTCCTGTGTGCTCTGGGAGGACCGGCAATGGATTTGCTGCAGTTCCGGGTTCAATTCACAGAATTTACATATTTCAGAGCCTGAAGAAAAATGGGGATCAAAGAACCAAGATCAACCCCCACCCCTTTCTGTGTGTGTATGCCTCCACTAAATTATCTCTTTAACATCTATATAAAACACACAAGGCCCCTGGTTTCATCCCTGGCACCACAGAAAACAAAACAAAAAGAAACATCTAACGACTGGAAAAGCCCATTAAAACAATTTGAAAATTCAAGTTATTAAACCTATCTTTTATATATCCATTACAATTTTTTTTCTCAAAAATGGAGCTTTGAAAAAAACTGGATTATTCTGGAGGCTTGGTATAGACCGTGCATCACCAAAGTGGATTAGAGGTTCAAAGACCAGGTTTCATTTACATCCAGAATCTGGCCAGAGGCAACAGGTCCTTGCCAAGATCCCTCTGTGCATCTCCTGTGAAAAGCCTATCGCTGGTGTGCTGGGGGCCAGAGCTGGCTTCTGCTGATTAAATATTCAGTTTTACAGGATGGAGATTAAGTCACCAGCAGTTTGGTGCATTTGTTTATCCCTTTGTAGAGCAAACATCTCAAACAGGCAGTGTCTGGAAATAAAGGAATTCTAGATACCAAGGGTTTCTTTGTTAGACATCCAGGTAGACCACTGATTATGTTTAAATGAACCGTGTTCCTTACTGGTTTTCAAGGGAGGTGAAAACATTTACTATAGTGACAGCTGCACCCTTAAAGTTGAAATGGGTGGATTTAAATTAAAATGCCCCTCAATGATTTATTAGCCACAATGTCTCAAACTCCCAAACAGAATGCCAGGATTTACTAGTGATTTTAAAATTTGGGGACACAGCTAACAGATTTAAAATAAATGATAAAACTGTACTTAACACTTCAGAGAATATACATTGTGTATACCTTCATTCTCAGTTCCAGTCCTATTTTAGAAACTTATAGAAAGAAACAAATATTCACCCAAGAGACAGATTGTTTTTGTGCCTTGGCACCAAGAATTGAAACAAAACAGAGACCAAAGAAGTTCTTCATTTGATGGAGTGTTTGCCTCGAATACTGGAAGCCCTGCATAAATTGGGCTGTGGTGCTGTACACCTGTAACCCCAGTCCTTGGGAGGTAGAGTCAGGAGGAGCAAAAGCTTCGAGTCGTTCTCAGTTACCTTGAATTAGAAGCTGAGCTACATGAGACTTCGTGTCAGGTACAAAAGCAAGAATAAAAAAAAATAACCAAATAAAAATGTCCTTTTGTCTGTCTTGTGCACAGAGAAGGTTGACATCCACCCACACTACAGGACAGTTTCCTCAGCTGAAGTTTATGTTGTTCTTGAAACCAAACTCGGATATTCAAGCAAATGTCCAGGTCTTTTGAAGTTGAGAAGTCTGGACACAAATGCACCACTTATTTTGGACCCTCTGGACTAAGTACCAGGCATCTATTCTTTGCCTGTGGTTCAACAGCAGTGGCTTCACTGTGTCCCAAGATCTGCTTGAGCACCAGGCACAGACACACGGTCAGGTTCATTTGTGTCCTCTGTGTGTGCTCAGAGCTCTGAAGCATAGATCCTGCTTTCGGGATTTGTTTAATTAAAGAGACAGAGGTTACTATTTCCTGGGTCTGACTTCTCCTTTGGGGTCTCTTACAAAGCCTCAGGAGCTGGGCAGTAAGGCTGCAGCTACATTGATTGCCTCTAATCCCGGTTTGGACGATCTCCGAGGAGTCCTTACTTCTCCTGTCTTAGATTCAAAGAGTCACAAATAGATTCTGGCACTGATGGCCTCATAAGGACTTTCCTTTATTGAAAATCCTAGCTGTCAAGTCTGGTTTGCCAAATGAGGGTGCAGGTCTCAGCTGAGACCTTGGCTTTAAATGTAAAGAATTATTGAGTGCTATTTTTAGAATTTTTATTACATCATTATGATAGGCGTGCATGGTGTGTGTGTGTGTGCGCGCGCACCTGCCTGCCTGCCTGCCATGTCACTCATGTGGAGGTCAGAGGACAATTGTGTGGACTTGGCTTTCTCTTTGCACCACATGGGTTGGAGGGGGGAGGAACTCAAGTTGTTGGGCTTGGTCACAAGCACCTTTACCTGCTGAGGCAGCTGAGTAGGCTGACAGATTCCACAGCAGAACAACACAAAAAGATACAATCTTTTCAGTGTAAACAGAGATTTCAAGCCATCTTCAGAGGACGATGGAGCCTCTGGCAGGTGTCTCAGCTTTATTTCGCTGATGTGACTGATAAGGACCCTTTGGTGCTCATTTTCATCCTTTGCAAGATGGCAGTAGGTCTTATGTCATTGGGTGATGAGGAATTCCAGCTACTTCTATAGATGGCAAGTCTAGCTTCCCCCTCTCTTGGGAAGCACAGTGTGGGTGCAAAGCTTTGTCCCCAAGGAAGCCCCTTTCCTCTCTGAAAAACCCCTTCTTTCTTGACTAAATGTCCAGATGAGCAGGGTCATAAGCCTCCCTTCGGAACCATTCCGATGATCTCACCTAACTAACCTTACCTACCCATCTAAATCAGAACTGTCACTACCTCGTTCCTGGACTACATCTATGCAAGAGTTCACCAACTGCCACGTCAGAAGAAAGAACCGTATCAACCAGATTGTCGTACAAACTTCCTCGTTCTTTTTCTTTTGAAAAAACAATCCCTTTTACTTGCTGCAATGTAGCCTTGCTGTTTATGGGACCAGTGACACACTTCACTGCCAAGAGGCAGCGCTCAGAACTCTTCAACCCCACGTTAATGATAAACCAGCACACTATCAAAATAACCAGGCTTTTCAGTTTCCCTTGTACATCCCACTTCTGCCCCACTTGTTAAAGGATGCCTGCCCAACGGTTGGTTTTTGTCTCATTCTCTCAGTCAGTTTTCACTTTTAGAAAAAACTAACTTATACTTAGAATGAATCAGCCCTCTTCCCCCTAAAAGGAAGCTCCCACAAATCAATAGAATGGCCAGGTACAGGATCAGGGTGACAGAGGGAAGAGACTCACTGAAAATACCCACTGATGGAAGTGAACACGTGAACGTGGACATGGAGTGGTAAGTTACACTCCCTGAAAAGGTGCTCTTACCCCAAGTCCTGGAGCAGCTCTTCTCCTCCATCTGATCGCTCCCATAGCTCCGAGGGATCCTGGGTACTCATGTTCCCTCCTACAAGTTCTGCTCTGCCCATTCGTTCCCTTGCTGCTGATTCTTGACTCCCTGCCAGGTGCTGTAGAGAGAGATGGACTTCAGTTCTGGACACACCGCTCCTCAGTAAGAT